TTTCACAAGCTGTTGTGCTCAAATAGTTAAATCCATCTTGCATAAATGTGCACCTCACTGGTCTAGTTCTTGATCAACACACACACAGTTCAGGGCTGTGGTATAACAGAAAGAGCTTTGCCTTTAAAGTCAGATATCTGGGCACCTTACAGCCCAGGCCACTTTCAGCAAAGACCTCTCAGTCTCCGTTTTCCTGTCTCTAAAATGAGGATGCTGAACTGTATGGTCTCTTAGTTCCCACCCCACTGCTAAACACTAAGCACAAGTTAGTATTGGGAGTTAGGAGGCCTTCCTGGGTTCAAATTTTAGCTATGGTACTCATTAGCTATGTAATCATGGGGGGAAAGTATCGAAATTCTCTGGGACTCAGTTTTCCTCATCTGTGAAATGGAAATAATAAAACGTGCACTATTTGTAAAGCTGAATGGGGTAGAGAAAACTGAGTTATAATTATAGCCCCAGGCCATGCACTCATCGGGTCGCAGTTGCCTCTCTGAATCCCAGTTTCCTTCAAAGCTCAGATCAAACCCTCCATCCTACAGAAGACTTTTCCATATCCCTCCAGCTGAGGGTGCCTCCATCCCAAAATTGCATTTATTTTTATAAATACATATGGAAGGTAGTGTGGTATGGCATAGGGCTAAGTTCAGTCAGAGTCAGAAAGACCTGAATTCAAGGCTCCATTTCTGTCATCTACTGCCTATATGACCCTGGGCTAGTCCCCGAACTTCTCAGTGTGTCCAGGCAGCAATCTAGAGCTACAAGTCGCAGACAGGGGTTTCCTTTGGTTCAAGGTCCTGCTAGGAAGGCTCCCGATATGCTGATAAAACAAACCACAGACGTGCTCAAATAAACACAACCCCAATCTTGGATGGATACATATTGTCTCCCTTAAGAAAAATGGACTTATTATAATAAATTATAATGATTATTAACAAAATTATAATAATAATGCCCTAGAGGGCAGGGATTGTTTCATACTTATCTTTGTACTTCCAGCTCTTAACACACACCTGGCTCACGGTAGGTACTTAATAGATGTTTGTTGATTGACTACCTGTGAAGCCTTTCTAGTCTGGTAGGGACCTGGCAGGACTAAACTCCCACTAAGAGAGTCTTAGAAAGCCCAGGAGCCCAGCCTCTTTTGGTGAATTCATTTGTGGCCATGAAGAGTTCTGTCCACACGTGAGTTATTGTTGACTCTATGGTTCGAGCCCAGCTGGATGCTCAGGCCCGTCCAGCCTGGCTCCACTCCTCTCTACAAGGAACCTCCTTCTCCCACACGGGATCCCAAGAAACCCAGACTCCCCCTGGGTAACCATCGACAAGCTAATCCCAGCAGCAGCTTCTTTGGTGGGATCCAACTGGGCCCCAGCCTGACAACCACCCTCCCCCCGAAAAAGCTTCGATTTCCCCATAAACATTTATATAGATACAGCCCTTAAAAAAAGCAGCAGGAGCCGAGGGAGGGGTGCCAAGAGAGAGGAAAGGAGTTCTGCCCATGCTCAGTGTAAGGAGAAAATCAGAGGACAGACCTGTCAAGCCACGCTAGCCCAGAGGCAGAACTGAAGGAATTCAGACATGTCTACTGAGCCAACTCCAGGCCTCCTCTAACCTGCCATGGGGACAGATGGACAGACAGAAATTTGGATATGGGAAAGCCATTCTATAGCATGATAAAAAAAAAAAAAAGGCTTTTGGGCACTTACCTATGCTTTTCTAGCTCGTTGTGTGAAGACCTGTCCAGAGAAAAACAAACAAAAAACAGAAGTAAGTCTCGGGGCTCACTGAATAATTGTGACCCAAACCAATCTGTGTCTCGGCTGGTGAGGGCGTTTGGTGGCCCAGATGCCCTGCCCAGGGCCTCCCAGCTCGAGAGCAATGGCGACAGGGCTGAGAAGCGGAGACACCGCAAGCCAGTCCGAGGCCAACTTTCAGTCGGAGCTCAGCCTTGACGTTGGCAGGGAGGGCTCCTCGAAGGCATCTCAAAATCCCACAAATGCCACGTAGGAGCAGAGGGAGGAGAGCCGGAGAACTGGGCTCAGATCCCAGCTGAGACACTCACTGACTAGCTATGGGACCCCAGGCAAGAACCTTTGGTCCGCTAAAACTCAGTTTCCTCATCTGTAAAATGGTGATAAGGATACTTATACTCTTCTCCTTCACAAGGTTGATGACAGTGAAAAGAACACTAGCACTGGGGTCAAAAGACAAAGGTTCAAATCCTGTCTTTGTCACTTACTGCCTGTATGACCCTGGGCAAGGGGTCTCAGTTTCCTCATCCATAAAATGATGGGGATCAGATGGCTTCCCTTCCAGTTCCGGCCTTTACTGAGGGCAGGGTCTGATTTATTTGGAACACTGGGATCCCCAGTGCCTAGCACAGGCCTTGGCACATAATAGGCACTTATTCAATTGCTTGCTGTTGATTGAAACCTCAAAGTGCTACGGCAATAGGAATGATTAATAGTAATATAATATACGCACATACAACTGAATTATACTATTAGTAATATTAACAATCCCTTGCACTTACTACTTGCAGGGCTTTGAGCAATCCCTTTGCCTCTAGGCCTCAGTTTGCTCATCTGTAAAATAGGTAGCCTCTCCAAGGCCTCTTGTTGCTCTAAATCCTACAACAGGCCCAAGACCCCTGCGCCAGCGAGGGCTAGAACTCGGCTTTCTGAGTTCTAAGTTCGGCTTTCGAACTATTCCTAGTTCGTGGTGATGGTGGGGTCAGTGTTCACCGAGCCTGGCCACCTCCCAAGCCACGAGGCGCCCAGTCACCCAGCTTGGACATCCTCCATGTCACAGGAAGAGGATGGCCTGGATGCTCTCTTGAACCGGTCCATCCAGCTGTGAGGTTTCATGAATCCATCAGGCCACTCTTACTGTAGGGCCTCATCTGCCAGGATTAACCCCTTCCCCGCACGGGAGGGCCCTCGCCCAACACTTTGTTTCATACTTCTCTCACAGTCCTTACAATAAGAAGATCTTTTTGTCTGTCTAATCCTCCAACTAAAACGTGATTCCCTGAGGATAGGCGCTGCACTCCTGGCACTGTATTCTGTATACAGCAGGTGCTTATTCAATGGTTGTTGCTATGACAGCTCTCCCCACACAAAATCACACTCTTGGACCTGACATTCAAAGCCTTTCACAATGTGGCTCCAACCTCTCTCCACCCCGATTTCCTACAGCTCCCTATCACACACATTCCTACCCCTACCCCCACCCCCAAGTTGTCTCCTCTTGTCCTCTCCTCCATGTGGTTCATTCCCACCTGGTTCGTTCACCTTTCTTCTACCTGAAATACCCATTTTCCTCCTTTCCTTCTCTCCAAGGCTATCTTGGTCTTCAGAGACCAACTCAGTCCTGCTTCCTCCAGGAAGCCTTTCTTGAGAGGAACAACCCCCAGAAATTTCTCCCTTTCTCTGTTTTCCTGGAGAACTCCTCCCTCGGGCCCTGAAGTGTTAAATAACGGCTCTGTGTGTGAGAGAAGCTTCGTCTTTCAGTACACAGCTCCCAAAGGGGACCAGCTGTGTCCTCTTCTCTCTTCCTTAGCTCTCTCCTCCCATCCCTCTCACGGCCTAAGGAAGGCCTGAGCAAACACCAAGAGGAGGTGACGATTAGGATAGTAACCATAGCAGGCCCTTCATACGGGGCTTTCCCATCCATATTTTCTCTGATCTTCACCATAATTCTCTAAAGCTGGCAAGACATTTTATTTGTTTAATTTTATTTTCTTGCAATCAGGGTTAAGTGACTTGCCCAGAGTCACACAGCTAGTAAGTGTCAAGTGCCTGAGGCCGC